TTTATTTTAAAATTAAATATTTATATTATTTAAAATTTATTAAATTAATATTTGAAATAACTTTGGATGGTTATATAAAGTATTTATCATAAATCTGAAATACATTTTATATGTTTAAAAATAGTTATTTGTCATAAATTTGTATTTACATTTAAAATATTTGTTTATTATAAGGAATTTTGGTTATTTAAAAATTTAACTCGTGTATTACACGTATTAAAATACTTGTTATGTACATTTTGATGGTTATGCTATTTACATAGAGTAGTTTGTATTTTTTTTGATGGTATTAGAAAAATGCAGGGTTATTACTTATTGTTAATTATGACATTATGATGATTTGATTAGAGGATGGAAGAGTGAATAAGATGTTGGTGTTGTTGCTTTTTGGTACACAAAAATAGTAAAATTTAACATTTGTGTAGAGCTAAATTAATCCATATAGTAGTACATTGCTTCAAGTCTTCTCTATACTTAATGCTAGAAAGCGATATTTGATTGTAGAATGTGACATCCGTGGGATTCGAAACCAAATTCAGGGTTTCACTCTGCAAATTGGGCTCCATTTCATTTTGGATTGGGCCCAGAGGGGTTTACCGTGTCCTGCCACGTGGTCCATGTCCCGAGGCTGGTGATAAACACACCTCCACTCTCATATAAACACACCCCCTTTTTAAAAAAAAATATGTAAAATGTCTAAATTACCCTTTAAAAAAAATGAAATTCTTAAATTTACACTTCCCTTCCCCCACCCTCCTTCCCCGCACCCCACATTTCACACCCCTCTTCTTCCCAAAGCCTCTTTCCGCTCAATGTTATTAAGCAATATACTTTTACAGTCATTCTGAATAGAAAAAAAGGACTAGTCCCACCATAATCAGCATAAGAAAGGTTCTTTTACAGTCATAGCATTTCGAAAAGTACTTTTACAGTCATTAGCATTCCGGAAAGTACTTTTCGGAATAGAAATTATTGTTCATATAATTCCGGAAAGAACTTTCCGTAATAGTAACTTTAATATTATGGAAAATACTTTCCGGAATTATATAACAAAATATTTCCGGAAAATACTTTCCGGAATAAGAATTTAATATTATGGAAAGTATTTTCCGGAACATTTTTATATAATTCCGGAAAGAACTTTTCGTAACAGTAAGAAGAAGAAGAAGAGGAGTGCCAGAAAGAGAAAGAAGAGGGGTGCGCAATGTCGGCAAGTGATTTTGTATGAGAAAAACTCTTACTTGTTCTATGAAAAGAAAGATTAGTACAAAAATAACTTTTAAAATCGGGGTTTTAAAATCAGTCATAAGGTAGCCATTTTAAAAGTGACGCGGTGGCCTGTACTGCAACAGAACGGCCCCAGAACGGCCCTTGCTGCAAGCAGAAAGGCCCTTTCTGCAAGCAGAACGGCCTGTACTGCTTGCAGAACGGGCCGTACTGATTGAAGAACGTGACGTACTGCTTGCAGAACGGGGCGTACTGAAAACAGTACGACCCGTTTTGCTTCAGAACGGCCAACACTGAAAATAGAACGGGCCGTATTGCAAGCAGTACGGGCCGTTCTGCTTGCAGTACGGTTCTGCTTGCTGGGAAGGGAGTGCGAGGAAGGGGGTGCGAGGAAGGAGGGGTGTAAATTTAGGAATTTTTTTTTAAAGGGTAATTTAGACATTTTATATATATTTTTTTTTAAAAGGGGGTGTGCTTATAGGAGAGTGGAGGTGTGTTTATCATGAGCCATGTCCCGATTCTCCTCTCTTCGGATACAGACGAAGCCCTTTGGCCTTAGTTTACAGGCTTGCACCCAATAAATGTATTTTTGAACACTCATTTCCGACTAATAATGATGGTTGGAGGAAACAATCTCCTAAATCTAGAACTGGTCAAATTTGCTTTAATCCACGGGTTAGATTAGATTAGACTATTAAAATTTATGACTCAAAGAATTGAATCAATTTAGTTTATATATTATTATTATTATTATTATTATTATTATTATTAAATTTATCTAAATATAAAAAGGTAAATTTGACCCATTTTAATAAGTGAAACTTGTTAGGTTAAACAAATAAATTTGTGACTCAAAGTTTTATCGAACATTTTTTACATTATAATTCACACTGAGTTGGACAATTCTTATTTTATTATTGGTTATTATGTTATGCTCTTAGTGTATGGAAGAGTTGCACCGATTCTGTCTTAAAATATGAATGTCTAATTCAAATTTATAAAACTTTTAAGATTAAGATTATCCTCAATTATATACAATTCATTAATTTTATTTCTATTGATGTGAGACTTAAATATTTAATAATATATTCACTTACAATCAACACTATCAAATTTGGTGCGTAGATAAAAAATTAAATAATATGTAATTTATTTTAAATGATTTAAGTTAAGCGAGTTTGATTCGTTTAAAAGAAATATGATAACTATGATATTATCTTAAAAAAATTATCTTTACTTATATACTTTTTCTTAATTTTAACTTTAGTCGATGTGATATTTGAATTTTTATCCAATACTATTTTATGCGAAGAGAAGAGTTGTTATAATAGTTTAATATGATCTATTTGGCTCTATCCTACATACGCTAGGACAAAAAAAGCTCATTAGGCCATAAAGTCTCAAAAGGCCTTGTGGAATAAGGTTAGCCATAGGCCTTAAATTTTAATAGCCTAACATACATACCTTAACCTTCGAGCTCAAGATATTATAGGCAAGTATAAATTTAAAATATTATGATTGAGACTGAGTTAAAAATACCCTAGTTAAAATTAAACTGAGACTATTGTAATTAAATTAAAGATAGTTTATGTGAGATTTAATTTAAAATAATTTGATCAATATCAAGTTTAAGATGAGATTGAAATTAAGTTAAAAATAACATAATCATGATTAAGTTGAAAAAATAGTCTAATTAAAATCGAGCTAAAGTCTAGTTGAGACTAGTTTAAAGATATTTTGACCAAAACTCAGTTAAATATACTCTAACTAATTAATTAATCCAAGAATATATGTAAATATTTAGTCAAAGATACTCTTACTAAGACCAAATTAAAATTTCTCTATGAAAATCAAGTTAAAAAATACTTGGTTAAGATATAATAAAAATATTATAGTCGACACTAAATTAAAAATGTCACAGCCGAGATAAAGTCAAAAATGTTTTTGCAAAGTCTAAAGATGTCCTAACTAAAATTAAAGTAAAATTAGAATTAAAACTTTTTTATTTCTTTGCTGACAAATTTCGTTGATTCCAAATAACTTTAAATTTTCATTTCTTACCAATTTTATACTTTTACACCCTGTTTCTTCGATATTTCTACCGTATCAAATGAGATATTAGAACTTATATAAACCTCATTACTAAGTGAGGTTATATCTAATATAGCGTTTGAATCTCTCATTGATAAAGAATTATGTAATAAAACTAAAAAGAATCTATTCAGTTACAAAATTTAAAAAAGCTTTGGGTAATGATAACAAAATCCATGGGACACTTTACAAAAAATTTTACTCTGTGCTCCACCGTTCAAAGGTTGTTATTACATCATGTTCCGAGTGCATTAATTGTATCCTATGTGAAGAGGCATACACAGACATTAATATTTCAACGTACACGCGTCTCAATACACCTCCACTTCTGTGTTTTAATTCCACTTTCACCGTCTGCATCAAACTAGAGCCATGTACTTAACAGTGACTAATCTTCTCGTTACATTAGAAATATTTTAAAAGACAGGATAACTGGCCTAAGATACTCTACACCCTTATTTTACCATTCCTCTACACCGTTCCAGGAAACTTGACCTCCTACCAAAAATTTCCTTATTGCTTTTTCATATTCTTTAAACATGTCAAAAATTACAATATTCCTTTGTTACATGTGTAAAAAAAATTGAAACATCGAACAAATAGGGTATAGAAGTGCAAGTTGAATTTGAATTTAAGTAATTAACATGTTATTCGTCCAAATGACATTAAATTTGAATTTTAAAATTAAATTTTATATTTGAATTTTGTAGACATATAAAAACATGCTTAGAAGGAAAAGTTCTTGTACAAATAGACAACCAAATTTTTTAACAAAAATTCGTTATAATAAGTATCTTGTATTAATAATAATATATAAATAAAAAATTATAAAAATAATACTTTATTTATTTTAAATAGCCAATAGAAAAAAACTTACCAATATACTAAACCTTTACTCTCTTTTTTTTTAATACAAATTTTTGCATAAAAAACTAACACTGTATCGATACGTGAGAGCTAGAGAGAAAAGTCCGTGAACATAATACATATGCTCAGTGCTGCAGACAGCACCGCAATGCCCCATTCGCCAAGTTGTCAGTAATAGTTTTCTATGATATCTTTATCTTCTATTTTTATTTTACTTCAAATGGACAAGCACCCTGGGAAATAGCAAATACGGGGCACAAGATATGTGCAAGAAAGCATAGGATAATGCCATCTACCTTTTCTTGGAACCACTTTGAGATAAAAAAAGATAACTCCCTTTCAACATTCAAAGCCAAGCTTGCAATTTTTAAGTGCATGCTTCTTGTTAGAATATTCAAATTTTAATTATCATGATTTTAGGATAATTTTCACATTTTGTAAAATCAATTTCTCAAACATTCACCCAAGCAACAAGTGTGATCCTGTGTTTAGTGGAACGAAGTTGTTGATATGTAGTGAGACGGCATTATCATGATTTGCTATCCATTCATGTCACGTGTAAACTCTCAATCCATTATTTATGAGACTAATGACATACACGTTACTTTTTGGCATAGTCAAAAATACACCTACTTCACATTACCTATCAGAAATCCAAATAATCAATACTCTTGAGTCTTGATGACCCTTAATGATTCCTCCACCAGCTTTTTTCTTGAGTAACTTTTCAACAACCAAATTTCTACACTAGGCCAAACCAGTGAAACCAATGTTATTCTGCTTTATCAAGCTAATTTTCTACACAGGGAAGTCCACTTTTGATGACCCTTAACCCAACTCCAGAAGAAATGGTAAAAAAAACTAGTCACTATCTTTTGATTCTTTTCCTTCACCATGTGTTTGATATGGTGCCTAGGCAAAGGAAAATGGGGCATCATAAATTGAACCACTGTCCTCCTTGGATGATCAGAATTAAGGCACTCTTCAATCCTCATATTATCATATCCTTTCTAGGGACGAGAAACTGTTACTTCTTCCTAGACATAATAAAGGAGCCCTCAAAACCACATTTTTCTTTGCATTTATAAGTCCTTAAATGCAGAACCAGAGGTCAGAGCAGACCTATTTAATGACCATGTATGTATAGATTGAAGTGCCTCTTTTGTCCACCTAAACACTTTCTCTGTCCTAGCAGCCTCAAGTTTTGACCACTTGGCACGCTGTGCTGCATTGCAGCTAAGCACCACCACCATCAGTAATTTACAAAGGGGAAAAACTTGTGTCTATATAAGTGGTTGAGAGTTTAGTGTTCATCCATAGTTCTCATTTCTCGCTAGTTTTCCCTGTAGGTGGATATTTGAGGAATCCTTTGACATATTTCCTGTCTTTCTTGTTTCTGAGTGTTGATTTTGTAGGAGAAATGAGTAGTTATTTGGGTGTAGGTATTAGCCCTGGGACTGTCCCAGTTAATCACAGCACAAATGTGAAAGTGTTTGATAGGAGGATAAGGATAACTGAGTTGGTGTTAAGGTGTGTGATACTTGGTTTAGGGGTTCTTGCAGCTGTTCTTGTGGGGACTGATTCCCAAGTCAAAGAGTTTTTCTCAATTCAGAAGAAAGCTAAATTTACAGACATGAAGGCTTTAGTGTAAGCTCTTTGTTCCACAATATTTTCTCTTTTGATTGCCAAAACATTGCAGGTTGTAGTGTTCTAATTTTGATGTCTGTTAACTTTGCAGGTTCTTGGTAGCTGCAAATGGGTTAGCTGCTGGCTACTCCTTAATTCAAGGGTTGCGCTGTATCATTAGTATGGTCAGAGGAAGAGTACTCTTTAGCAAGACCCTAGCTTGGGCCATTTTTTCTGGTGATCAGGTACATTTTATATACATAAACAATACTGCATATTTGCTTTTCTTTTGCAGTGTTACCTATAATCATGTATCAATATGTATACAAATTCATTAGGGTCGCCTGTTTTGGTTAATTAGCACAAGATTTCATATGCAAATGTTGTTGATGTCATGATACTCATGAAAAAATATATCAAGATGATTACATCACTACCCTACTGGATTCTCTCAGTATTTTCACTTTACTGCTTTTTATTATATTTTGATAGCTTTCCCTGTGACAACTGCCTAAAGTTGAAGTCTGGCTCAGGTGGCTGTTCTTAGTTTCAAAGGAATTCATGTGAACCATTGTTAATTAATTGCATCTAATTAGTTCCTTTTAGCCTCCCTAATTGTTCGATTGAATGGAATTGTGAACTCGTATCACACCAATTAGACAAAGCCATCACAATAGAGTGACATTTGATTTTTTTTTCCGGAACTAACGCTCTCTACATGTGTCAGAGGCTCAACTAGCGTCCGTTTGAAGTTTAGTCTCAAATTTAGACAGAATATCTTGATAAGGATCTCAAATTTGTCTTGCAAGCAAAGGTAACTAGTACCATGGGCCCATTTAGGGAACTGTACCTGATTGATGTTATGTTAGGAGTTCAGCATCATTCACCGTAAGACATACTTAATTCCATGATTGGGGACTATCACAAATGTGTGCTGGTTGTTGTTGGCATTTTTGTTAGTGGTTGGGAGTGAGTAATGACCAAAGCAATTAAACACAATAGGCATGGTAGATATGGTCTTGTCCTACAACTTTAATACACCTTTACTGAAAGAAAGACTTTTATGTTCACTTTTTTTTTCTAAATAGGTCAGTTCTAAAGAAATGGATTCTGATCCTACAGAATATGTTTTTTCTTAAATAATTTAGAGTTTAATATTTATGCATTTTTAAGGGTAGATTCAATTTTACAGTGTAAAGTGTCAACCAATTAGTACGGTTTATAAGGACTTTATTATAAAAGTTAACAAAGCTAGCTTGTATCATAGTTTAGGATGTATGACAATTTAGGATTGACTGGTACATACATATTTTGCTCGGTAATGTTTTGTCGATTAGTTAAACAAGTACTGCACAGTGTAATAATAACACTAAAGACATAACTTTCCTATGTATGCAGGTAATGGCATATGTAACAGTGGCAGCAGCGGTGGCTGCAGCGCAATCGGGTATTTTTGCAAAGGTGGGCCAGACAGAACTGCAATGGATGAAGATATGCAACATGTATGGGAAATTCTGCAACCAAGTGGGAGAAGGGATAGCTAGTGCTTTTGTGGTTAGCCTAAGTATGGTGGTCCTGTCTTGTATTTCTGCTTTCAGTCTCTTCCGTTTGTATGGTGGTAACAAAATCAAAAATGTATATTGATAGGTTAGAAACTACCATAGATTAAGTTACTAGCCTACCACTCACTCCCACTGTAACTGTTACTTGGCCAGCATAATAGTTCTGCAACTTACAAGGTTTCTTCCTGTATATGTAGTAGTGAAATGGTTCTGGTAATATGATATGAAATATCAGATAATAGTTATTGGCAATAAAGTTGAAGTTCTAATAGGAAGTAGTTATTGGCAATAAAGTTGAAGTTCTAATAGGAAGTATATGTACTATGGTTAGCCCAAAACAAAGTTGTGACAGACGACTTGAGTTGGTGGTTTATGTATCAATATATTTATAAACTTAAATCACTGCCCGTTAACTATAATTTATTTAAATAAAATAGATATACTGTGATCAATATACATTTACCCCAAAGAGGACATCAACTAATGTTTTCCTGTCAAGTGGAAATGGTTAAGAGAGTAAATGATGTATAATAAAGGCAAGTTAAATATGAAGTTGATACCAGATACCGATGATAATGAAATGTGGTATATAATCTTTCTCATCATTTTTGAAGCCTTTTTGGAGCACGGATTCCTTGTCTGTCATTGACATTGGGACAGAAAGGTCGTAGATGTCATTGACCAGTAATATATAATTATATATAATAACAATCATCATAATTCATATCAATTTCCAGATGAGAGTGACCTGATATCTAGAAAAAAGAATAGTAACAATAGTAGGACACTTGAAAACTTTAACATGCATGAGTTTACAGCATCAGAAGTCAAGCTATACAAACAAGAATATTCAAACAGAATATGTTTTACAAGTACAAGACTGAATTAGAATACATAACTATTGAGATTTACATTAATATAGTCATTTTTCATATCATTGCATGAATACTAACCAGATTATAAAGGCTGTCAAGAACAAAATTTTGGACCCTCAACAACCCAAAAATACTCGAGTGAAATGAACATGCCACACATTAAGCACGATATGGAACATTATTCACACATAGAAAAATCCTATTCAAGTGCATTGTAGTTGTGGCACTACTCTAAAGAAATGAACTAACGATTAATAGTAATGGATTAATAGTAAATGGTTAAGGGGTATAATAAAAAACAACTATAAAAATTAACAACCAGGATATATTTACTGTGCAAGTACTAGATTTGCCTTCTTACTATTCACAGAACCTTAAGATGGGATGTCAGATTTCTTTGCCAAAACAATTTTTGTTATTTACCTAATTCCTAATTCACTGCCATGATATCAAAGATAACAGATGCCTTTAAATCCAATTTAGTGATGGGTTACTGTCATAGGGGGGAGCACCAGAATAGGTGGTCCAAGGGTAAATCCAATTTAGTCCAGAAGGGGAGAAGTAAAGGTGAATTAGGTTGTTTCTTCAGGTAATTGTGTGGTATCAGTTGGAAGAGTCCTTCAATTCCTGTGCTGTTTAATTCTTTGTAGATACGTTAGCATCTGTGTAGTTATCCAATTCTTTTTATATGTACGTATATCCTAAATCTAAACCCATTTAGATTTGAAAAACCATTCAAATTTTGATTACCTTGGGCCTTGTTTAGTTGTTCCTTTGAGTCTGCTATGATTTATAGAATCCAACTGTAAAGACAGTGCCTGTTGAAACAAAGATTGTGCAGTTTATATTTATAAACTTCGATCTATATTATAGACATAGGAAGCAACTAGGAAATGAAAGTAATTTTTCTATAATTATTTTATGATGTTATTGCATTAATTTTTTCTCCTTTCTTTCAATTGCTGTGAGAAAAGCACGCTTAAGATTTTCATAAGAAAATTGGGAAAATCGTGGCAGGGTGAGAAAAAGCGTGCTTCAGATTTTCACATAGCTAGCGTGCCCTGCCCAAATCTCTTTTGAACTTTTTAGCTATGCTTTTCTTGAACAAATAGTATAAAAGTTGATGCTGATTTAAAAATAAAATAATAAAAGCTGTTGTTGCAGATAACTCTTTGTCATCTTGTGCACTTCAGGATGCTTAGCAAAAGGCGTTTCTATCTGAAATAAATAAATAAATAAATAATTTTCTCTGTCTTTTTTCCTTTTTAAAATCCTCGTCATATATAAATTAGTAAATTTGAAGAGTTGTATTTTGAGCTAGACAACTTTTAGGATGACTCGTCCTATCTAAATTTCTAGTTATAAAAAAATATAATTTTTAGGGTTGATCTTTAACTAAAGTGATTTTAGTTAAATTTTAAAAAATTAATTATATTTTAAATTTTTAAATTTTTTGTCAATTTTTATTTTAATTTTTTAAAATTTATTTATAAAAAAAATTAACATCAGAAACTAAAATGTTAGTAAAAAGAAAATTTTAATGACTAAAAGTAAAAAATCAATAAAATTTTAAAGAATAAGACTAGTACAAAATTTGTTTAGAAACTTAAAAGTAAGAATAGATAAAGATTCAATGGTTAAAAACATATAATCCATTTTTTCATCTAGAACATTTTAAAAATCTTTCTTCATCTCTCATCTCTTTTAATTCATTTTTAAATTAAATTTTACTTTTTATCAATAATTAAAAATAACTTTATAATACAACATAAAATTTTTATTATAAATATAAAATTTCTATCTATATTAATAAGAATACTTCTATGAAGTGTTTTTATATATATTATTTTTCAACAGAGCATTTTCAGTTTTTTTTAGGAAATACTATTAATCTATTTGTTTAACTCATCTTTGTGTATAAAGAAACTCATTTTTTTAATATCATGTTATTATATGAAATAATCACTTATTTTCGATAATCTTTATGAAGATTTTACTTTTACTTTTTTTTTTATTCATAAGATTTAAATTTAAGACTTTATTCAAGAAGATCAAGTTTATTACAACTCGAATCAATAATTTTTAATAATTTCTTATATATTTTAATTTATTATTTTTATTTATATTTATATATTAAATTTTAATATTTTTTAAAAGTTATCAATAGCTAAAAAATCAAAATATAACCTTGTATAATAGTATAAGATATTTATCATAAATATAACTATAATTTATATTATCAAAAATATTTATTTATCATAAGTTTTTATAATATGATTCATTTATTATAAATTTTAACTATAAAAAATTATCATATATTGTACAAACAAAAATACTAGTACAAAAATACTAGTACAGATTATATGTTAAAAAGTATATATTTATTATAATTAAAATTGATTGATTATTATAATTGAAAAAATTATCATGTCTGTTTTTAAAAAATTATCTTGTGTATTATGCAAATAAAAATATTAATATAATTTATATATTTAAAAATATTTATTTATTATAATTAAAATTGATCGACTTTTGTGATAAAAAATTTGATAGACTATCAATGTTTTCTTTGACAGAAGATAATGTTCAACTTATTTTCAAATATATTTTACTAAATATTTACATTAAAAAAATGTTTTTAATGTATCAAAACACTTAATTTTTTTTTAAAGTGTATTAAGACATTTACAAAATTCAATAAATATATTATATTTAATGAATATCATAATTAATGTATTATAAATAATTTTTTCCTAGTAATATTAAATTCTACATTTATTATATTTTTTTATTCTGATTCCAAATTTATTGAATATATTATGTAGTCAAATAATTAAATATAGAATTAATATGTTATGAGTAAAGTTTGACTTCCTAATAACATTAAATGTGGTGTAAAAAATAATATTGAATGTTTGATAAAAAAATTTTGAATTTTACATTTATTTTAATATATTATGCATTCAATAAATCTTATATATTTAAGACGAATATGTATAAAAGTGTTTTTAATAATTTTTTATATTAATTGTTATTGTGCCTAAGAGTTAGGGGTGAGAATAGATTAAATGAAATAAGATTCCGAATATACATAATAGACTTGATTTATAAAATTAAACTAAGTCTAGCCTATTAATTTTATTATTTATTATAAATTTTTTCATAGGTATTGACCTAATTTTTTATATGATTTATTAGTTTATTTAAAAGTCTATTTAGTATTAACAACATTAAATAGATCAATAAATTTAATTTAAAATAAAATTATAATTATATTTTAAAATACACATGTGAGCCTGTTTTTAATTTTCTTGATAAAAAATTTAGTTTACTCTATTATTATTAAAATTTAAAGTTTAAAATAAAAATAAAAAAATTAATTGAGGGACAATTTATGCATACATGTTCACTCATGCATAAGCAATAAAGAAGGAAGATAAACTTATCTAAAAAAAATTGAATATTTCATATATCTCATTTGAAGTATTCTAAATAATCAACTATGATTGTGAAAAAAAAATAGAAAATGAAGATGTGACTCTTAGAGTCTATTTTTTATTTCTTGATTTCATATAAAATACTTTTAAATTTAATAAAAATGTCAAAAAATATTGATAATTTAATTTTGTATTTAATTATATTGTTAATAATGTAAGATAGACTAACTTATTAGACCTAACATACTTTTTTATAAGCATAAGTTCAATATTTTTAAATAAAATATACTAACTCATTCCTTGTAAAAGTACTTTTAAGAATTTTTTTTACTTCTTATCTAATTCGATTTTTATTTATCATAATTATTTATGAATTAAATATTAATATTTTAAAATAAATTATTAATAAATAAATTTTTTATTATAATATTAAATATTCATTATAAATATAAAA